AAGGGATTGTCTCTAAAACAAGTTGTTGAGGAGCCAATTTGTAAAGAGGCCATACTAGATTTAGTGTTAACAAATGGAGATTTGGTATCAGATATTACTGTAGGTGAAAGCTTAGGATCCAGTGATCATCAGTCAGTGTGGTTTAATATAAGAACAGTGACTGAGTCACACCACACAAAAACAAAAGTTTTAGACTTTAGAAAACCAGACTTTTCTAAAATTAGAATATGTGTAGAGGAGTCATTATCAGACTGCAGCAATTTAAATGGAGTCCAAGAGAACTGTTATTTAAAAGTTGCACTATTGAACGCAACAGAAAATTGCATTAGGCTTGTCAGTAAAAGCAAAAAATTCAAGAAACCACTGTGGTACTCCGCAGATGTGGCCAAAATAGTTAAAAACAAAAAGATAGCATTTAGGAATTATAAAAAAAAAAAACATAGTGAGGAAGACAAAATTATCTATAAGATTAGGCAGAAAGAGGCTAAGCAAGTTATAAGAGCTTCCAAATCACACACAGAAGAGAAAATAGCACAGTCAGTAAAAAAGGGGGACAAAACATTTTTAGATACATAAATGAGAAAAGAAAAGTAAAACAAGGATTAGTTAGATTAAAAACAAAAGAAGGAAGGTATGTAGAAGAGGATAAAGGTCTAGCTGACTGCCTCAATGAATATTTTTGCTCTGTATTTACAGATGAAAATGAAGGAAAAGGACCTCAGTTGAGAAAAAGGATAAATGAGTCATTTATTACACGTGAGTTTGCAGAGGAAGAGGTTCTATTTCAACTGCCAAAAGTAAAGACAAATAAGTCAATGGGACCTGATGGAATACACCCAAAGCTATTAAAAGAGCTTAGTGGTGTACTAGCAAAACCATTAACAGATTTATTTAACCAATTATTGTTAACAGGAGTATTCCCAGAAGATTGGAAGTTAGCGAATGTTGTGCCCATTTACAAGAAAGGTAATAGGGAGGAGTCGGGCAACTATAGGTCAGTAAGCCTTACTTCAGTAGTGGGGAAAGTGATGGAAACCATGTTAAAGGATAGGATTGTTGAACATCTAAAACACATGGATTTCAAGATCAGAGACAACATGGGTTTACTTCAGGGAGATCATGCCAAACTAATCTTATTGATTTTTTTGATTGGGTAACTAAAATTATAGATCAGGGTGGTGCAGTAGACATTGCTTACCTAGATTTCAGTAAGGCTTTTGACACTGTTGCACATAGAAGGCTTATCAATAAACTGCAATCTTTAAGTTTGGATTCCAATATTGTTGAATGGGTAAGGCAGTGGCTGAGTGACAGGCAACAGAGGGTTGTAGTTAATGGAATATATTCGAAGCTTGGACTTGTCACCAGTGGGGTACCTCAGGGATCTGTACTTGGACCCATTCTCTTTAATATTTTTATTAGTGATATTGAACGTAAAGAAAGGACTGCCCTGGACCACGCTACAGCTGGACACTATACACCAGATTGGTCAACAAATTAAGGAGGCGGGACTATTGTGAATTTAAAAATGGAAGCCTGCATAATGGAAATTATCGATTTTAAAAAGTTGAGAGGGAGAACTTTTATGCTCTTGTATTGCCCATATTGTTACCGTAATATATTTGTTTGCTTATTTTGTGTTTTTATAGATATTTATTTGTTAATAAAAAGGTGTTATATTTTTCCGTGTGTATGACGACCCCTATTTTTTTGAGCACAAAATTAAGAAATGCATATTTTAAACCTCTATCCAGATCAGGATCCCCCACAGGTCTCAGTCCCCCTCCCACTCTGGTAGGCCGCTTCCCGAGGTCCGACCACATTCAGACACTAGTTCCCTGGACCACCGTCCTGCTGTTGATGGCAATGATGCCCTCTGCCCACGGGCTGTCCAGGAAAGACCTCACCCTGCGACGTCTATCTGTAGTTTGGCGCCGTGAGGTCGTGGTGTGGTCCAAAGTGATGCGAGGGAGCATGCAGTTGCGCATCTCCCAGACCTGTGCACACAATCTATCAAATTCATGGAGAAATGTCTCCTCTGCATCAAGTATGTCAGCAGGTCGCAGAGGTGTACAGCACAGTCTATGCCCACAGGAACCTTGCAGTAGCAAATCCAACAGTCAGCTGAGTGTTCTGTCAGCGAGTAGCCAAGTTTTGTGCACAAATTGTGCTGCGTAAGTAGTGTATGCATTTGGTTTAATAATTTCTTGTTTTTTTTAGGAGCTCCAGCCACATCAGGCTGTCGGGCCCCGCGCACAAGTGTGGTTTTTTTTTTTGTTTTGTTTTTTAACCCCTGCAGTGACATTTCGTGTATAAGATGACTAAAAAAATGTAGAAAAAAAGTCTTATACACAGATAAATATGGTCCGTATTTATGCACTTACCCATCCTTATCCTTACCTTGTATCCGGGATCAAAAAGTGTCACCCAAGAAACAGACGCAAGGCTTTAAATATTGGAGCCAGTTGCTGAAAGGCTCCAAAAAAGTTGAGCACTGTTTTGAAGTGTCAATTACAGACAATTGAATATTGTAATACTGCACCTAAAAGGTTCTCTACTTTTTCATGTGTGACTTACATGTGTTCCTTTTGGAGTTGCTGTATTCATTGAAGAAAGGTTGTTTGCCACATCAAAGGTTGCAGGGTTTAGAGCCTATATCCTAAAAAGGCTCTAATATATGTGAATTTATTCACTCACGTCACTGTGTGTTGATATATGTTCATTACAATACTACACTATATTTTTCTCTTTTTTTTTTTTTTTTTTGTTTATAAAATAATTACTTCATGAGTCCTTGACTTCACTCTAAGCGCTGCACTTGCTTTTTTGGATTAGGAATGGGTATATCACCTAAACATTGAGTGCATATTGGGGTTCCACAAACAGTCAAGTGAGAGGTTAGTCACAACTCTTACTATAAATTCCTAAGTACCACACTTGGTCAGTGCTTGGTTGTTCTGGTGCTTGTTCCAGCCTCAATCCTAAACTGGTTACATAATTACATAGCTGAAAAGAGACATGTGTCCATCAATTTCAGCCTTTCTCACATATGTTTTTGCTCTTTATCCAAAAGAAGGCAAAAGTCAGAAGCATTTCCAATTTTGATTCCTGACTGTTGTTTATGGTTCCTGATAAAACTTCTTGTGTTCTGGCCTTTGGCTTTGACTCTTACCAAGCTTCTTGTTGCTGACCTTTGACCTCTTTTATCCTAATTCATGGGTTTCCTGGCTTCTGACTTTCAGTTTGATTCTTGACTTTGCTCCTTTGCTGTAAGCCTTTACCATTGAATCACCTGACTCGGCTACCTGTCTGCTTCTTTCTGGCTTCATTGCTTTCTGTGTTAATAAAGGTACTATGCCCTCATAATCTCTCTGGTTTCCAGACCACTCTCAGGCACCTGGGAAAGTCGTATATGCAATAAAACTAACCAATGGATTGTCACCGCTGGAATGATGCTACCATGAAGTAGTAGAGGTTTCTGTGCATTTACAAATTCTTGTGTCACAAATGATGCCAGAATGAAGTGTCAGCCCAAGCACATGTGACAACAATGTATGAAATATACCTTTTGTGTGATATTACCCAACTCAACTGTGAACTTACATGCAAACGTCATCACTTCCTGCTCTTGTATGTCCAACTTGTTTAGTTATAACTACTTGTTTGTAGATTAAAAATACTCAGGTTCCTTGTATTTAGTATCCGCCAAATTCTAACTAACTTGTGCTAAGTGGATCTCATCTATTTTCAAATAGATTGCATTTCTACAGTGACATTCACTTGAACACAGCCACAAGGGAGTGGGCCACAAGAAAAAAAACTAGAGATGATTGGGGATTTAGGATTTAGTAATCATTATGACTTTAAAGTGTGTTGGGAGTAGTGTAAGGATGATTTATACGTAAACTTATGGTTGGTGTTTAGAACATGGAAATAATCAGGGTTTAGGCCTACCGAATCAAAGCAATTGGTTTGCTGTTAGGCTGTTTTTGATTTGCCAAGTTATATGGATATTTGAGTGATTTCAACAGACATGTAAAGTTGAGCCAAATTGCAGTTCAAATGTGGTTGAAATAGCCAAATTTGTCCTTTATGAATAGTTATTGGGTAGTTAAAACAGCTGAATTGTGACAAACAAATACAATTTACAGTTCATTGATTAGTAAATAGATCTCCAGAAGTTAAACTTAAAAGAGTTAAGTTATATGGGAAATCACCAGCCTTCATAAATATATTGAAATCAGGGCCGTCTATAATATGATTAGGACCCTGGGCAATGGATTTTCTTGGGCCCCATGGGCCCTGTCCCTGCCACTGCCTCACCCCCCAATTACGTCCAACCCGCAATCACACTGACAGACGTACTGGCACATACACACACAGACAGACATTAAAACATTCACAGATACATACTGACACACAAAGTCACTACACACAAATATATACTGGCAGACATACTGACACACACACAGACATACATACATACATACACAGACACATACATTAACAGATATACTGACACACACAAACACATACACTGACAGATATACTAAAACACACAGACACATACACTGACAGACACATTGACACACACACACAGGCATACTGACATATACACAGACAGAAGTAATGGCTGATACAGACAGACATTAAACATTCACAGATATATACTGACACACACATACACTGACATACAAATATATCCTGGCAGACATACTGACACACACACACACAGACATACATACATACACACACAGACACATACACTGACAGACATACTGACTGACACACACATACACACACAGACATACTTACATACACACACAGACATACTGACACACAAAGACATGCTGACACACACACAGACATACTGACATACACACAGACAGACGTACTGGCACATACACACAGTCAGACAATAAAACATTCACAGATACATACTGACACACACATACACTGACACACAAATATATCCTGGCAGACATACTGACACACATGTACACACACACACAGAGACATACCTACATACACACACACACAGACATACTGGCATACACACAGACATACTGACACACACACACACACACACACACACACACACACACACACACACACACACACACACAGACATACTGGCATACACACCCAGACGTACTGGCATACACAGACATACTGACATACACAGACATACTGACACACACAGACATACTGGCATACACACAGACATACTGACACACACAGACATACTGGCATACACACAGACATACTGACACACACACACACACACACAGACATACTGGCATACACACAGACATACTGACACACACACAGACATACTGGCATACACACACAGACATACTGACACACACACAGACCTACTGGCATACACACACAGACATACGGACACACACACAGACCTACTGGCATACACACACAGACATACTGACACACACACACACACACAGACATACTGACACACACACACAGACATACTGACATACATTTAGCCACCCTCCAGGTTCTTACCTTTTCCTGGAGGGTGGTTTCCCTGGTCCAGTGGCAGGCTGAGGCAGATGGGAGTTCTCCTCTGGAACTCCCCTCCTCCCTGCCTTCCTCCTCCCGCGCGGCTATCTCCGGTGGGAGGAAGTGACGTCACTTCCTCCCAGCCGGCTGCAGAACCGGAAGAGGGGCCCGGTCGCGCTGTTTAAGCGCCACAGCGCCCGACCGGGCCCCTGCTGACACATGCTCCCCGGGTGGCCCTTAGTGCATGGGCCACCCGGGGAGCCTCCTCAGTGTGCGGGAGCCGCACCGCAGGGGCTGCGCAAATCGCGGGGCTCACAGAGCAGCTGCTCTGGGCCCCCAGGAGCAACTGGGCCCGGGGCAGCTGCCCCGTTTGCCCCGCGTTAAAGACGGCCCTGATTGAAATTAACTGCATCTCTATGATTGTGACTCACTTATTTAAATACCAACTAATTATTATGTGCTGAACACCTTTTCAGTAAATGGCATAAAGCAATGGATAAGTGTTCCTTTGGATTAATGAACATTCTAATTGAGTGAAACAAATGCCTTTTTTCATGCCTTTTTTCATGCTTTTACAACCAACCACAATTTCATGAGCTACAAAAGAAATTAATCAGCAAAAAAATATTTTAAAAAGTAAGTGCATGAAACCCCCCCGTCCCCCCAGAAATTCCTGTGTGGTAAAACAGATTATGACACAAATAATATTAACCCCTTAAGGATGGAGCCAATTATACAAGTTGTGATCAAAACAAAACTTAAAACCTGGAATTTGCGCTCTATGTGGTTCAAGCATAATTCACCTCTTCCATATTACGTGCACACTTATATATCATTTTGTTCAGGAGAATCAGGGGTTTCATTTCATATCAAATATTTATATATGAATTAAATTTAATATGAATAAAATATATTTTTTAAGTTCTGCATGACATTTAACTGTGAATGTCGTAATGCTGTTTGATTTTACTGTAATACACATATTAATTTTGTAATACAAAAATACACATATTTTTAGTCAGAAATGTCTCACGAGTACAACAGTATCCCCATGTACAGGTTCTATGGTTTATTGTAAACATACAGGTGTAAAATATAGGGCTTTCCCCTTTTCTATGCTTGCACATTAAAATTTGCCAGATTGGTTTTCTGGGCTTATGTTGCCTTTGAGACCGTATGGCAGCCCAGGACTGAAAATTAACTCCATCATGGCATACCATTTGTAAAAGTAGACAACCTAAGGTATTCAAAATGGAGTATGTCCAGTCTTGTTTAGTAGCCACTTAGTCACAAACGCTGGCCAAAGTTAGCGTTCATATAAGGTTTTTTTAATTTTTTTCCCAAATAAACTGCCCTTTCACTGATGATATTGTAAGTATAATACATTTTACTACTCTAAAACACTCATATTAATGTAGAATAATGTCTCACAAGTACAACAGTACCCCTCTTGTACAGGTTTTATGGTGTTTTGGAAAGTTACAGAGTCAAATATAAGATTAGCCAATTTCTGCCAGATTGGCTATGATGCCTTTGAGATGGTATGGCAGCCAAAAAATGAAAATTAACCTCACCATGCCATATGATGTTTTGGAAAGTTACAGGGTCAATACAGGGCTTACCCATTTCAATTTGCCAGATTGGTTTGCTGGGCCTCTGTTGCCTTTTGCAACCATATGGTAGCCCAGGAATTAACCCCATCATGGCATACCATTTGCAAATGTAAACAACCCAGGGTGTTCAAAATGGGGTATGTCCAATCGTTTTTAGTAGCCACTTAGTCACAAACCCTGGCCAAAGTTAGCATTCATAATTTAATTTTTTTGCATTTTTCACAGAAAAACTGCATTTTCATTGATGATACCGTAAATTTTATGGTTTTAAACACTAATATTTTTATTCAGCAAAGTCTCACAAGTAAAACAGTACCCCCCGTGTAAATGTTTTATGGTGTTTTGGTAATTTACAAGGTTAAATATAGGGCTTGCCAATTAAATTTCCTGGGCTGTCTGCCTGGGTTGTCAAGTACGTACCTAAAAATTATAATTTATAAAATCAAATTATGTAAAATTAATTGTTAAATATAAAATTTACATAATCTATATAATACACACATATATATATATATATATATATATATATATATATATATATAACGTGTGTGTATGTACATTCACATACATACATATACACACACACATACACTTATTATATTATTAAACAATTCAAGTATTTTTTAATATATTATACATATATAATACATATGTATAATTTCATTATAAGTGTATTTTAATATATATTTAAGGCTGGGCCTGTAGTTGTGGGATGGGCTTGGATCCCCTTTAAAAGGGCTGCCAATCCTCTCCCACTTTACCGTTGTTGGTCTGGCGAGTTGGGTTACTTCCAGTCAAGTCACCATTTTGCTGTCTCTTACCTGTTTTTCTTCGTGGTCCTGACTCCTGTTACTGTCCTACTTACCTGACTGCTCACGAAACGCTACAAGCCCGCTGCCTCCTCTGGCTTGCTCAGAGACCGGTTCTCAGTGTGGCTCGTTTTTCAACCGTAAGTCAGACCCTTACAGCAAGGCCGCAGTCACACTAGTTCAGCGTCATCACGGTTTGGGTCTATTGCATTTTCTTATTCATTCGTATTGTTTGTAGGCGTTTCGGCACTATTCGTACAATTAGTTCACTCCTATGGGTAAGGGTTTTGGTTCTTTCAACCGCACAAACGCAAGCATCGTTCGGCTCCTTTCACTATGTTCACACGCTTAATCGTTCACCATGATTCATATGAACCTTTCCAGTAATTTTATTGTGAAACATGCGAACGACTAGGTAAAGGCATAGACTGTTCGCATGATTCTTCCCCATTGACAGGTGTTACTAATTCCTCTTTTACACCAATTAAGACGAATTGCATGTATACCTGTCACTTTGTGTTCACGGTGCCCCATACTGGTTACAAATGATATTACGAGTCTACAAATATTGCTATATGATTATTGCTATTTTTAGACTGGTTATTTATGGTATATCATCCTGCCAGTGAGCTGACATTTTATGTCATCGTGATGTTCTTCCCACAGGTGCGTTTCGGAAAGATTAGTCAAAGAAATTGTTCCTGCTTTGACAAACTTGTCCTTTTAAAGTTGGTAATTTGGTTGAAGTTTGGCTTATTTAAATAATCCCTTCTGAGTTTACATTAACATCTCAAATTCCTTTAGGTGCCTTGGTCAGACCAGACTGTAGCATTTATAAAGGTTCTTCCATTCGTATCAGCTTCTGCCAATTTTCTCTCCTCGCATCTAGGTTTTGGGGTAGGTTCCTTTATTATTACTCAGGGCCACAATCTGGCCCACTCACATATATATTGATATGCTCAGATACTTATCTATAGGTATCTATAGGTATCTACTGCCTTCCTCTTTTTCCCGAATTCTGTAATAATCATCATTTCTGATTCTAACTATCTCAGGGACGACATTTACAACTCCTATACCCTACTCCTGTTAGCAGATAGTACTGGCTATCAGGGATTCTATGTGTCCAAATAGGTAATGTTTTTCTGGTCTTAAGCCATAGGCTAGTGGTCCCGTGGGGCCAACACCCATCCTCATACTCAGAGGTATACAACCATCAGCCCAAAGCAAAGTTATTCGCCTTGCATGGTCGCATAGAGAGGGCCTCACATGTCACTCCCATACTATCTTAAGCTTTAGTTATCACCAAGAGGCCAACACCCCACCACACCGTCAAACTCCCCTTGGGCCAACGCATAGTTAGAGCCTCTCATGCCGCTTGGCAACTAGTAGGGACTCACCTGTCACCTTGTGGTAGTATAATTTTTTCGCCTCTTGGCATCTAGCTAGCCAGCCAGTACCAGGCTACATTGTCTCACTCTGCATATATATATGGAAACTGCGTATATATATGTTAAAACATAGCTTTTATTAATAAACTTATAATAAGATTATAATACAAATATTAGTAATTGTGAAGCTTGTGAAACAAAAGAAAAAGAAATAGGCTAATAAAATAAATTAAGCCAATCCTATAGTGGATGGGTGCCCGGGTGATACGCTTGCAGCAAATAAAAAATTACACCATTGGGGCATACCCTAACAGAAAGTCCATAGCTCTATATAGAAGAAGCTGTAGCGATGAATGCTCTAGTCTCCAAATACTGATGGATTGTGTTAATTTGGAGAAGTAAGTATATCTCTAGCTAATCGCACTCATGCACGCCTACAGTTTATACCTAATTGACGTCTTCTGTAATAACCCTAGTAGGCTGTAGTATCAGCATGAGATAAGCCACCAGTAAACAGCTCTATAGCTCATAAGTCGCTTGTAAAGAATAATATTGTAATTTGATCTGAAACTGTAACAGGTGGAACGATGCTGGAGCCAGCTAGGCTAATAATAGACTGTAGCCAGTAACTATATACACTGTCGCAAGAACTATCCTCCTCAAAGCCATGCTCGCTGATGCTAAACTGAAGTAAAGGTGATGCAATGGTGCAGCCACGGGCTACCTAGCAGGTTAATGAGAAGGGCTATATCACCCTATATAGTGGCAAAGTGGTACACTGGTTGTTAAATAAAGTTACAAAAGTCCTCGTTCAACAGTATGAAAAGGCTGGTCTAATCTTTCGAGAGGATAGTTGGCCGAGTATCATTGACACCCACATAGTGTAAAGAAAGAGAGAAAGCTTCTAGGGTCAAATAAACTAGGTAGATGAATCTAGGTAGATGGCGGTCCAAGGCAGTCCCTGGTGGGGGAATGCAGACCCTAAAGAGATGCTGTCACACACGGATACCCCGCATCCATACCACCCACCATGCCTTAGGAACCAAGAGAGAGCTAAACGGTTTAAAGAAATAAAATAAGCCTGTCTACAAGCCTGCCTGACGCGCGTTTCAGCAATGCTAAAGCGCCTTCGTCTGAGGCATAATGGCTCATAATCACTGTTTAGAAGTGTGAAGGAATACCTCATCACTTGTATCTGCATCATTCCTTTTTCAAATTTTTGTTCGAACCCCCTAATTCGTCTATTGAACGAGGACCAGCCCAGCACCCCATTAGAACGTGGAACACCAATCATCTAGTGCGAAACCGCAAAGGGTGGCCGTCATTTCGCCATTTTGTCTCCCAAACGCAGGCAACGGTACATGGTCGTTAAGTGCGGGAACTCTTTTCAGCTATGCACTCTAGCGAACACCGGTGAAGATGGAGCCGCTGCCCATCCCTGTTCCCGACCAGCTATACGAGCGGCGTTCGGGAGATAGGAACTATCGAATAAGGGGAGCGTTCGCTAGTTGAAAGCAATTGACTATATGGTGTGGTTTTCGTACAAGAACCCCCGAGTAGAGATCGGCCATTGCCACCATTTCTGAAACTATTTTGGGCTTCTAATTTTAGTTTTAGTGTAAGCAGGGAGAGTGTGTCAGGTTGCTGGTTAATTGTGGGGTGTAACCCCTTGTTGAAATACGTAGGAGCGAAGGGAAAGAGCGAATTGGAGGTAGACAATAACTCATACCTCACCACCTATACCTTCCACGTACAAATGCAACCCATGAATAGATAATTAAATAAATTAAAACATAACCTTTAATTAACAAATGTTAAAACAACTATATTAAAAGTATCATAGCTATTAATGCTAAAAGTAAGGAGAGGGGAGGGGTATTGGCTAGAAAATTTGGAAATTAACTGGGAACAGGGAGGGGAGCATACACTAATAATAGGAATAACCTGTAGACATCCAATGTCCACTGAAGTGCCTTAATGGGCACCCCTTCAGAAAAACTCCCAAAGTCTCCAATCCCCAAATCCCAAAAATGAAATAGAAGAGAGAGCCAGACCCCTCCCCCTCACCTAAATATCTAACCGTTACTAGCTAGAGAATAGATAATAGCTAACCATTACTAGCTAGTGAATAGATATAGCTTGTTAAAATCACAGCGTGGTGGCTTATCTGGAAAATAGAGTATATTTAAGCTACAGCATCATCCCTTATCATAATTTACACCCACTGCTCTAAACTGTCCTGACGTGCGTTTTGCAGAATAATGGCTTTTCCAGAGGAACCGAGTCTAAGTATAACGTTAGTTTAAATATCCCGCCCTCAGCTCCGATTGGATGTTGATTCCACCAACCGCACTGAAGGGCAAAAAATGACGAAAGTGATGTATATTAACCCTTTGTAATACGGGTAATATTTAATGAAAACGTATAGTTAAATGAATTACTGATCACTCAATAGAAAGAAACGAAGAAAGATATACTGGCGGTCTGCCACAAGTAGATATACCCCCAACGAATACATGCATGAATTTTCATGCATGTTTTCATTGGGGTATATCCTCAAAGGGCTAGCAAAGGCTGCAGTTTTTATGACCTGCAGCCTTTGTAAGTCCTCCCATTTTTTCCCGGAAGAGATTTGCAGTCTCTTCACAGGAAACTAACCAACACGAGTGTGTGCACACGCGCTTGTGCACATGCACACACAGCTACATGTGCGCGCACACGTCTGGCGCTGAGGAACTGGTGAGTGGGGAGGAAGGCACGCTCAAGTAAAGCTTGCCTGCCACTTCTGTTAGTTCAGGGGAGCTCACGGAAGGAGTCTGCAAATCTCCCTACCTGTTTGATTGATAGCCAGAGGGGTGCTCCCTAGCAAATTCTTTAAAGTGCTGATATTTCGTAGAAATCAGCACTTTTATAAATGGGTTAAACTAGGCTAATCCTCACCCATAAAGCACTTCAGCTAGCTGAAGTGCTTTTGGGGTGTGGAATGGTCCTTTAAGACAAGCAGTGGTGTATCCTGGTTTTGTGCTGCCCTAGGCAGGACAAAACTCAGGCGCCCCCCTCCCCCCGCGCCACCCCACCCAACCCTTCCCCCCCGCCCCACCTTCTAAATACACACACAGTCAGACACACAAACACACAGTCAGACACACACACACACACACACACACAGTCAGACACACACACACACACAGTCAGACACAAACACACACACAGTCAGACACAAACACACAGTCAGACACATGTACACAGACACAGTCAGACACATACACAAAGACACAGTCAGACACAAACACACACACAGTCACAAACACACACACACACGGTCAGACACAAACACACACAGTCACAAACACACAAACAGTCAGACACAAACACACAGTCAGACACAAACACACACACACAGTCAGACACAAACACACACACAGTCAGACACACACACACAGTCAGACAGAAACACACACACAGTCAGACACAAACACACACACACAGTCAGACACATACACAGACACAAACACAGTCAGACACAAACACACACACACACACACACACACACAGTCAGACACACACACAATCACTCACATTAACTTTTTTTTAATTTAAACCCCCCCCAACCTCCTTACCTTTGGGAGTGCTGGTGGGGGGGGTCTGTGTGTGTGTGTCTGACCCTGGTGGTCCAGTGGCTGCCGGTCGGCGCTGGGCGGGTGGCTGGCGAGGGAGCTCTTCCTCTGAGCACTCTGCTCAGCTCCCTCGCCAGCCACCCGCCCAGCGCCGCCCGGCAGCCACTGGACCACCAGGGTCAGACAGCTAAAATTACAGCTAAACACAAACACCACAAAAGTGTAAAAAGAGGCCTGGTCGCAAATGTACAACATTGCAAAAACAGTCCAGTCCTAAACCCCTTAAGGACACAGCTTCAGAAGCTGGACATACCCTTAAGGACACAAGCAATTTTTGCATTTTTTGCTCTTTGTGTTCAAATGCAATTTGCATCTCTCTCATTTATTGTACCAACACATATTATATACCGTTTTTTTAGACAACAAAAAGGGCTTTAATTTGATGTGACATATACATATATAAATTCTCATTTATTACCAAAAAAATGCAAAATAATGTGGAAAATGCTTTTTTCCCCAAGTTTTGGCAATAATAATGTGTGCATAATATGTCCAGTTTAGGAAAAGTAATTCAAAATCAATTCATTTATTTGTCTTGATTTACAAAGTGTATAATATGTGTAGGATTTCAGTTTATTTTGAAAGTTACAGGTCACAAACTACAAGGTCTAAAATAAAATTTCAATGTGAAACAATTTTAGAAGTTGGTATGTTTGTCTTGGAAGTTTAATACCCATTACAGGAAACAAAATTGCCACACAAAAGTATATATTTATATAAAGTAGACATCACAGGCTATTTACCTAAGGTTAGTTTAGCCATTTCACCGCCAATCTCTGCTAAATATTGGAGTAAAATTTTATTTTTTCTCTATTTTGGCATATACACATATTACAAGGTTTTTGTAATGTGTATTTCGTAAACCTAGTGAGTGCTATCCGAGTACAGAACCCCATATTGTGTTCAGCTACATCTGCTGAGTAAAACAATACCCCCATTGTATACCTTTGCCCCTATTCTGTGAAGCTACAATGCTATATAGGAGACCATGCTATTTCAGTTTCTATAGTTGGAATTTTTATAGATGGTCATATGTCTGATTTTGTGGCATAATAGCCATTTGACTGTTCAAATAACCCCACAAAGGCCTTCCATTTGAGAAAGCAGACACTCCAGGGTATGTTATTAGGCATATATTATACTTTAACTTGCCACCATTTTTTCACCAATTTATTTCAAATTTTGTGGTGAGAATTTATTTTTTTAATTTTTTTACATACATGTTGCATTTTCGCTGGGTATTTCTTACATTTGATAAATGCCACTGTCATAAATTGCCCCTAAGTATGCTCAGTTACCTCTTCTGAGTAAAACAATAAGCCCAATTTATGACATAGACACTATTTTGTGAAGTTACAGTGCTGTGAAAGAGACGTGACAAGTTCAGGTAGTTAAGTGTGAATTTATATGGAGAGTTTTAATGGGTCCGTAGTCTATTTTTAAATATGTTAGCAGGCTGCTTTTTCCAACTACCCCAAAAAGGCATACTATTTCTTAAAGACGCCCAAGGGTATTTCAAAAGGCAAATTTTGAACCTTAGCGTGGGATAATTTTTCCGTTAGCTTGTATCAAATGTAGTGGTAATAAGCATTTTTTTCTGCCTTTTTGACACACAGTGAGTTTGTACTGTATATTTGGCAAACCTTATGTGTGCTACGGCTTTATAATACTTTAAATGTTGCTCAGCTGTGTTGTCTGAGTACAGCAATACCCCCATATGTACCTTTGCCAGGTATATGTGGACGTTGAAGGGGCACATTTCAGACACAGCCATTGCATTTTTTTTCAAACTTTGAATTTTTACGCTGTGGTGTTACCCCACTTTAGAGTTTTTTAGCAGGCTATTCCAACTATCCCATAAAAGCATACTATTTCTTAAAGAAGACATCCCAGGGTATTTCAAAAGGCATATTTTGAACCTAAGCGTGGGATCATTTTTCTGCTAGCTTGTACCAAGTGTAGTGGTAATAAGCATTTTTTCTGCTTTTTTGACACACACAGTGAGTTTGTACTGTGTATTTTGCAAACCTTATGTGTGCTACGGCTATATAACACATCCTATCTTGCTCAGCTATGTCATCTGAGCACAGCAATACCCCCATATGTACCTTTCCCAGGTATATGCAGACATTGAAGGGGCACATTTGAGACACAGCCATTTAAGTTTTTTTTTTTTAAACTTTACATTTTTACACTGTGTCCATACCCCACTTTGGAGGTTTTTTTGTAGGTTAATTATTCCAGCTACCCCATAAAGGCATACCATTTCTTAAAGAAGATACCCTAGGGTATTTCAAAAGACGTATTTTGAACCTTAGCGTGAAATAATTTTTCCGCTAGCTCGTACCAAGTGTAGTGGTAATAAGCATTTTTTCTGCTTTTTTGACACACATAGTGAGTTTGTACTGTATATTTTGCAAACCTTATGTGTGCTATAGCTATATAATACTTCCTATATTGCTCAGCTATGTTGTCTGAGCACAGCAATACCCCCATATGTACCTTTGCCAGGTATATGCGGATATTGAAGGGGCACATTTGAGACACAGCCATTTAAGTTTTTTCAAACTTTACATTTTTACGCTGTGTACATACCCCACTTTAGCATGAAATAATTTTTCCGCTAGCTTATACCAAGACATACTCAATGGGTTTGTAATATATATTTTGCAAACCTTATATGTGCTACAGCAGTATAATACATCATATGTTGCTCTGCTATGTCATCTGAGTACAGCAATACCCCCGTATGTACCTTTACCAGGTATATGACAACATTGAAGGGGGACATTTCAGACACAGCCATTTAAGTTAGAATTTTTACGCTGGGTCCATGCCCCACTTTGGAATTTTTTTAAATAGGTTGTGTTTTCCAATTACTTCACAAAGGCATACCATTTCCTAAAGAAGACACCCAAGGGTGTTTCAAAAGGCATATTTGAAACCTTAGTGTGGTATCATTTTTTCACTAGCCTGTACCAAGTGTAGAGGTAATACACATTTTCCCCCTTTTTTAAACTTTTTTTTCACTTTTAAAAAGTTTTATTTAGCTTTTAACAACTTATTTTACTATTTTAAAACTTTGTTTAAACTTTTCAAAAGTTGTTTTCACTTTTAAATAGTTTTTTTTAAAAACTTTTAACCCCTAACTAGCCTAACCATAAATCCCCCAATTTCCCCACTAACTTCTACCCACCCTAGCTAAATAAATAAATATTTTTAAATATTTAAATTAATTAAATACATTTAACCCCTGAGGATAAAAAAAATAAAAGTTAACCCTCAGGGGTTAAAAAAAAAAAATCAGATCACAGTGAAATACAGGCAGGCAGTGATGCACAAGTGATCAAAGGGCAGGGAAGGGGTTAAATTTTATTTGAAAGAGGTGAGGAGGGGTGGGATTTTGTACCTAACTTTTTTTTCTTGCAGAGAGAGACAGATCAGCACCGATCTGTGTCTCTGCAGTTCACAGCTCACACAGAGCTGCAGGGAAACAGATTGGGTTTCAATGCAGCACGTGTGATCGCTCTGACTCCCGGTCAGAGCGATCACATGGGCTGAATCAGTGAAACTGCCCATGGTAGTGTGCCTCCGATATGGAGACACACTACAGGAAGATTAACCCCACGATTGCCGTGATTGTGGCAATCAGGGCTTAATTTTCATTTTGGACGGAAATTTTCCATCCAGCGTCCTTAAGGAGAGTGCTGCAATGACGGAAAAATTCCGTCCAGCATCCTTAAGGGGTTAAACATTGCAGTTCCAGAGAAAATGCAATGTTTACATTGCAGCTCTAAGTCTGCCCTCAGTGGCTATCTACCACACAGCCTCTAAAAGGCTTCCTGAATTGAACCGGATCATTAGCACCTGCTCGTCGTGGGACGCCGGAGGGGGCAGAGCCACGACCTAGTACCAAGGGACATCGTTGCTAGGATAAGGTAAGTAAATAAGGGTTTTTTTTTAAACCTTTATTCACCCAAGCAGGGGGTCAGAGGGGGGCGCGAGGGAGGGGGAACGATAGTGCCAAGAATACAGCTTTGTGTTCCTGGTACTATAGTATCCCTTTAACTCATTTTTTTACTGTAAATAGCAGCAAAAAACAACCAAAAGAAAAGAATTCAGTACATATGAGCTCACATACCCCAACCCATCCAGCTGTCTCATCCACTATATAAGCCTGATGACACCCCAATAACTTCCTCTTTCTTTGTAAAACAGTCCTAAACAGACCAGCAATTACACTGGAATAATGTAAACTAAACAAAGCGCAAACACGTGTGGAAGGTGCAAATGGTGTGCTGCACTCCAGACATAAGGATTAAACTGAATGTATGAAGGCAGCTTCCCCAGAACAGGAGATGGAAGACCGGTTCAGGCTGAAAAGCTAAAGGGAAAAGGGGGATGTATCCACTGTTAAAAACAGAAAAGGAACATTAGGCAAAAGAACATCCACATGAAACAATCAAATAATAGGCAATCAGAATACATACCAGCATGCTTATCAACACCAAAAGAACAAGAACTACAAAAGCAGAAAGACAATCTAGTAGAATAGAGGCCAAAGTATTTACATCATGAAGGCTCATATTGTGCAAGTTTAAAGCTACATGACCACCAAGGAAAATACATGATTGATGAGCTTAAAGGGACACTATAGTCACCAGAACTTCAGCCTATTGAATTTGTTCTGGTGAGTAGAATCATTACCTTCAGGCTTTTTGCTGTAAACACTGTCTTTTCAGAGAAAATGCAGTGTTTACATTACAGCCTAGTGATAACTTCACTGGCCACCCCTTAGATGGCTGTTAGAGATCCTTCCTGGGTCATGGCTGCCTAAAATGCATCCAAACATTCAGTGTCTCCTCCCTCTGCATGCAGACACTGAACTTTCCTCATAGAGATTCATTGATTCAATTCATCTCTATTGGCCAGGGCTGTGTTTGAATCATGCTGGCTCTGCCCCTGATCTGCCTCCTTGTCAGTCTCAGTCAATCTTATAGGGAAGCATTGTGATTGGATCAGGCCACCACATCTGATGATGTTAGCAGACAGCTTATTTTTCTGAGGCAAACAGCATGCAGCTCTACAGCTTCAGGCTTGAATACAGTAAGATGTTGCTATATTTATGGAGGCATGAGGGGCCCAGGGGGTCTAGATGGTGGTTTTAACACAATAGGGTCAGGAATACATGTTTGTGTTCCTGACCCTATAGTGATCTTTTAAACTAAAACATCGGGAAATTCGACTTACAAGACCAAGGTGCCCACCTAGGGACATTAAAATACATGAATCCCTTGGAAACTGGGAAACAAGGCAGGCAAAAGGACAAAAACACCTTAAAGTAGCCAGGCTGGTGAAGTGAAGTTGTCCGCCAATTATACTCCTGCAAGCAAGACACAGGACACAGACCAATATGTGCCGGATAACAGATGAATTTGATAAAATACTTAGTCCAGTGCGATATGTGAAAAATACCCCTGTCAAGAATGAAGGAGTGGGCTGACACGGTGCCTGATCAGTGCGGTCACACTATCACAGTGCCTGATCGGCACCACAGTCTGGCCATGCCTAACTGGAAGGACGGAGAGGTTACTCACCTCACCAGCAGAGCCTCTCCCTCCATGCAGCTTGTGGATCATCAAGACGGTGCTAATTAATAACGCCGCCTACAATGACGTCACTAGTGACGTGAACGTGCGGTGTCACGTTTTCATCATGCACACACGTTCTGGAGTCATGGGACCCAAACTAGCCAATAGCAGGATTTACTGGGTTATTTAAACCCAAACCTGCAGATGTTTAGTGCCCTGTCGTGGTTTCCATCCTGTTGGTTATCCCAGAGCGCGTTCGTGGTTCTGATTATTGGTTTTTGATCTTGGCTTGGCTTGACTTCCCATATTTCTGGTATCCCTGACCCTTTGGCTTTGTTCTTTCCGTATTTGTTCCTTTCTGTATTCCTGACCTCGGCTTGTGACTGTTTATTCTATTACGTTAAATCCGGCCATTCTAAGGCCCGATAATACTTTGTTACTGTTTGTATTTGTTATGTGTTTTACTTAATTCTGTGTGTTGGGACACTGGTTCGCCCTGACA